GTTCTAAGTAGGTGCTTTAGACCACTGAGCCATCTCACCAGCCCTCAAATTAATTTTTAAAAATTGTTTTTAAATTAAAAATAGCTGATGAAGTGAAAAATAAGAAACATGGTGTTTATATGAAAATTAGAAACAAACAAACAAATAACTTTCTACCAAGCAAAAATGTGTCATAATTCTTCAGCCATCCTGATTCTGAGCAGAAAGTGAAGCTTTAATATAAGAATAAGCAAACACACTGATGCATGTGTGCCATTGCTGCCCACGGTCCTGCATCTCACAGTGCAGATTCATATTTTATTTATAAAATAAAATATTTATCTTTACAAGAGTTATATGGTAAAAATTTTATCAAGATATGCTTGGAGTTCATCTCGCTGGGTATTACTGTTTCTTTTCAAGAAGGAAAAATCTAAAGTAGCTGCTGCACTAGTCCCACCAGACCTTATTCACCCTTGCGGTAGACATTTTACTTCTCCTCAGATAGCCCCGATCCTCCGGATCCTCCGTGTCTCTCAACTGTGTGCACTGAAGCCAAGTCAAATTCAAGCTAATGGGCTGTGAGGGGAAGTGATGTATATCACAGTAAGAGCTAGCGTTCAGCCCTGCTGTTTTCTGTAATCCCTAAGGCTCTGAGTGAGATTCAGTCATTGCGTGGGAGAGAGGGTGTTGTGGTTTCTATTTGGATGTCAGCCCAAAGCACTGTGTTCTCAAAGGTAGAAGAAGCCTGAAGGCTGACTGAATTATGGGGACACTAGCTAAAGATGATATTAGGAGATGGGACCTGGTCTAAAGAGATGAGTCACTCAGGGTGCGTCCTGGTAGAGGGCACCCCCTTTCCTGTTCCTCCTTTCCCCCTCTGCATCCCGGCCACCTTCATAGGAGCAGCTGTCCTACAAGGCAGGCCTAACACCAATGCCATATCTGCCTTGGAGCCTGCTGACTGCGAACTGACCTCTTGGACAAAATAAGATCATGTCCCCTAAATCAACTTACTCTAGCCCGCTAGTTCTTAGCAGTAGCCTAGAATATCAGATCTGGGGGCAAAAGGCTATATTATAGTTTACCTTTCCTAGACTCTCTGCTTAACTGAATGCCTTTTGATTTTTAGGAGGGATTCTGTTAATGGGTCTCAATATTTTTAAGTGTATATCTGAAAAAATTTCTTTCCTGAAGAACATGATGTGCTTCTAAAAAGAATTTGCACAATACCTCTAAAAGTGATCCTTCTCTGACCTATTTAACTCTCGCTGACTTTTGCTTGCTCTAGCTTTCTTCCACTCAGAATAATGAATGGCGTCTAAACATCATAGGGCTTAGAACAGACTTAGCGTTGATATGAAAGGCTTCGTGTTGTCTCCCTGCTCTTCTGTCTAATGACTGTTCAGATAATAGACATGTTCCCAAAAGTATTGGCAATGCCCTCGAGAGCTGAAATCTTGTCATTCTGGACAAATGCACTGAATTACATCAACTGTGCAAGCTCCCATAGAGCCATCTGTTTGATGAGGTGGAGAATAATGTTAATGCTTATTTGAGAGCTGACTGAATACCCAAATGCTAGTCATTGAGGCTACCCTGAGCCTTCAGAAACACTACTCAGGCTCCCAGCAACTCCAAGCATTTCAATGTTTTGCTGGCCTCACAAAGCCTATCAAAACATGAAATTAAATAAGTAAACAATGTTTGGGCTAAAATGTGTTTCAAAAGAAAATGAACAATATATCTTGGCCAAAAATTCTCCAGATCTTATCTTGATAATGTTGTTACTTAAGAAAACATAAATTCTAACATCAATTGAGAGAACCACTCCTTGACATTTTTTTTTTCAGGTGAGTCAAAAAGTTTTCGCTAATTTATCATTCTAACTTCAGTGCCATAGGTGGCACACAACTTGCAAATAAATATTCCTACACCCAAACGTGTTTCTACGCAGCCTCAGTACACTGCAAGAACATCCATGTATCTGAATAACCAGCTGAGAAAAGCTAACTTGATCTATAGCCAAACATGTGTTTATTTATCTAGGGTTCCTCTTTTGGTGGTTTACTTACCCTACGTTGTGCTACCAGCATACAGTGTCTGCCCTGCTCTCTGTTTTGTGCAGCCTAGCTGTTAGATGGCATGATTCACAGATTGGCTTTGTCAGGGGTTGTCTTTCATGATTCTCAATAGTATTCATACCCGATCCTACCAGCTTCTGAAAACCTCCAGACAGAGATAATAGGAAAATGACAGGCAGAATAACAGAGGAGTATATTTCAATTTGTTCAAGCTGTCAAATATGCTGAATAACATATATGCATAGTATGTATTCCTAGTAAATTGAAAGTGCCTTTAGAGCAATAAGGTTATTCAGAAAAGTCATGAGCTTTTATACCTGAGATTATCTTTACCCACAGACATATAGCCAGTTTTCATTGTCTGTTTAGAGCTGGAACAGCATGTGGTTAGAAGGGTTGGCACTTTCTAGCTGCGTGATGCTGCTGAGGACATGAAACTATCCTTGCCTGATTCCCTGTCTGTAAGGTAGGGTTAATAATAAAGGGTGACAGTGAGGAATAAATGAATTTGTATGTAGGAAGTTCGCAGACCACTGGCATACAGAAGATGGTCTATCAATATTGGTTAACAGTATTATATAACATAGCCAACACTAACACTGTGTCGTGATGGTCATAACAGTAGCTATGTTAAGGTAATTTAATCTTTTTAAGGTGTGTTGAAAATTATCACGTCTAACTGCACTGTGTTAATTGAAAATGGTGATTTGATATTATGTGTTTTATGAAATAGCACATAATTTCAAAAATAAATCCCAGATGGCATTTATCTCTCTCAGAAAATAAACCCTGGCAGGGGAAAACAGTGATTTTCATCTTATAACAAAGAAGAAAACCCATGGAAGGCAAGATACAGACTAAATGGGTGTTCTTTATGGCTTGTAGGCACTGTGTGTGCTGAGTTTCCTAAAAACCATCTTATTCTTAAGTTAACTGTTTCCCAGATTGGAGGAGTGTATGCAATAAGCATTTATTTGAAGTTGGGATTTCCCTTTCCTTTTCATGTAATCACTGAGTTGATTTTGGGAAAGATTAAAAGAGCAATTTTTCTTCAGCATTGTTTTTAATATTAATCAAAAGACATCATAGATATAGATATAGATATAGATATAGATATAGATATAGATATAGATATAGATATAGATATAGATATAGATATATTTATTTTATGGAACCAGGGTTTGAACTCAGGCCCTTGCACTTGCCAGGCAAGCGCTTATTGCTTATTCTACTGAACCGTCTCCCTGGCCCGGACATCAGGTACATTAGCAAACATTCAGCAAAAGCTCCAGACAGGAAGCATTTCCAACTTTGCTAGACTCAAGTCTCGGTGGCAGTATGCACAGTTCCAGCATTACGGCATAAAGCCTGCCCAGACACTTGGAAATGGATGGTCTGCTGCTGACACTGTGCTTAGAAAAATAGGCAGGAATGGGACGAATGTGGCCCGCAGATCAATTTCTTTACCCCCACCCTAAAAAGTTACTTTTTGTTCTCATTTTTATTAGACACATAAACATGCACACCATGTACTTGCAACTTAACACATGCAGGCATACTTGCTTGAAAATCAATGTGTCAGGGCCAGAGAGATAGCTCAGCAGTCTAAAGAACATGCATAGGCAAGCTTGGGCAGGCACAGGGGACTTCCTAAGTTAGATTCCAGGTACCACATGCCACACCAGCCCTGCCCTCAGGGCGGACTGAGCCAGCCAAAAAAAAAAAAAGAAAGAAAATCAACACATGGCCTAAAAAACGCTCTATGGTATTTACATAAAATACAAAATTTAAAGATAAATACATGTTATTCTATACAACATTTGTTTATTAAATATCCAAGTCTCTTTCCATCTGACCAAGGTCCAGCACTGGCCTAACATTTTATATGTATCCTAAAATCACTGTATAAAGATTAATTTGCCTAAGGAAACTATTCCTGAGTTCCTTACATGTTCTTTAGTTGCTTATAATGTCACGTGTATTTTAAATTTGAGAACAAGGGAATGGATTAAAGGGAAAAAATCTGTGTGTAGAGCTGAGCAGTCAAATTTTTTGATAAAGTAATTACCAAAATAATAATTATTATTATTAATAATAAAATTATTACAGGGAATTCAAGTTTTTGTTATGCTTATTCTAATATCAAGCATTTCCTTTAATTTTTATTAACAGACTTGTTTACTGTGTGTGAATGCTCATAGATTAAATGAGCTAATACACCTAAAAACACTCAATACAAGCCCAGGCCCAATCACTATTTATTGCATTGCACGTGAATGTTTTCTGGGATAGAACGGAAGCTTTGTGTCTTCTGAGTAGTTCTGCGTAGTCTAGGTACCACCTACGGAAGGAGTTTTCTATATTGTTCTAGGTGGCATTTCTAAACACAGTAATGATCCAGAATGCCTTGTAGGATTTTCAATGTCAAAATAAGTTTAGTACTCCATACAGAATATATAATTAGTGGTCAAAAAATTCCTCTCTCCATCCTGTGCTGAGGAAAGTCAATACAGACTGGGCTGAAGGCCCAGACTTTTAAAGCTTATTGGATATAATTAACAATTTACTAGAATGGATTTATTCTTTTGGGAGAAAGTATGATTGCCTGCTATTTATTAGCTGAAAGCAATTTAAAAATGTACTCTTCCTTGGGTACGTATGAAGCACTATTGGGATGAAGCAAACAAAGAGAGAGCACACAGAGTGAGCATTTTTACTACTCTGCCCCATTCACCTGGGGTAGGACCTAGCAGGTTACAAATCAGCAACACTTGGGAATGGTAAAGAACATTATGGTACCCATCTTGATGTCATGTAGGTACCCAGTACAGAGAAGAAGGCCATAGGATGCAGAGCATCATGAGCTAATGCACTACCTGATGTGATCGATGTGTGTGGATCTGAAACGAAACCATTGGATCTTTTGATTTTTTACAGAAAGAAGCCGGAGCATATACCAACCCTTTGAGAACACAACATAAAGAATTTTACTATTTTACCACTTCCTTAGCTAGGTAAGACGCTACCTTCTCTACTTTGTGTTACCCACAACTGTGAAAAATAGCTTTATGCTGTTTTTTTTTTTAATTCTTAAGTAAATATCACTACATGCTGGTAAAGAAGAAACACATGAGCTGCACAGCTGACACACTCAGAATTATTCGTGCAGCACTTCTCGTGTGTGGACTGACACTAGAGAATGCAAAGATGCTCTTGTGAAGTGATGATTATGCCAAGCCTGACTTTCTTGCAATGATTAACAATACCAGCAATATTTTCTCAGAAACTTCTGCTTTCCAAACACATTCCTGTGTGTTTGACTTTCCATAAATTAATTTATTTTTTACAAAAACTGTGAGACTGTAAGGTGAATACCAGGATCATGCCTTCTTACATGGTAGGGGCACAAGGCCAGCAGCAGTTAGTTTATTGCTTTTATTACTTCATTATTTTAGTTTTTAAGCTACAGGAGCTATAAAGTTTCAGAGTAAAATATTTTCAAAAGTATACTACATAGCCAAGTGCCTACCACATGGATTAAACAAAATCTTACCTAAAGAAATAAACTGTCTCAGAAAGAAGAAAAGCTTTCTTGCTGTTTCACTTTCTTCTTTATTCCTCAGAAATGTCATGTTGTTTTCTAGATGTCTTCTAATACATGTGTGACATGTGCATGAAACAAAGAGCATAACATTATTTACATCTTAAAAATATACATAAATATATATCTGGCTGAAGATGTTCTTCTGCAGCTTGCCTTCCCTACCTTTATATTTATATCCATCCAAATTGGTACATGAAGATCTGGTTGGCTCATTCTAACTGTAGAAAGGTGATTCATTCGAATATTTTTATATTCTGGTGCTTACTATTGTTACTAAGTTACTTTCAGTGTTTGGCATATTTCATGCCAAAAATGTTTAAACATCACTTGAAAAAACCTTTAGAATTTGTGTGTAAGAAATCTTTAAGTTTTTCATGTATGGTAATGTGCCAGTCCTGCTTGCATGTTTCCATTAAAAACACTTTTTTTTTTTAAATTGGCTTGTTAAATCTCGCTGATCTAATGGGAACCACGATTTTTACTGTTGTACCATGACATAGTGATGAGAATCTGTGTTATTTCCCCATAGAGGAAATAATGACTTTTCCAGAATATACTAGAAATACTATTTCTGAAATTTAAGGTACTTAAAAACACTTTTGGGCGACTCATCTTAATTTCTTTTATTCTCTTAAAATATCAAGGGAAAAGTAGAAAAAAGAGATTCTTTACAAATTGCATTCTTTTTTTTAATAATCTAACCTTTATGTTTTTTATTTTTAATTTTTATTTCTTTTTTTGGCGGAACCAGGGATTGAACTCAGGCCTTTGCGCTTATCAGGGAAGTGCTTATTCCACTGAGCCATCTCCCTGGCCCCATACAAATTGTGCTCTACAGTTAATTTATAAATTGCTTTGTACAATTAATTCTAGAGTTTGTTCTACTTGCACATAAATGGAACTTGCATTTATTGCAACAATATTTATTGGAATCCATGTATGCACAGTGGACATGGATGTGAGAAGACACGGCAGACACAGCATCTGCCTAAAATGAGAAAACAGGTCTGCAGGGAAATGTGCTGATTCATTCAGTGGTTCTAAATTGTGACCATTTGAGTAGATATTTTTATCTGTAACATTGTTACTCATGTGATGATCATTGATTTCACCTAACTGCATGGCAATTTCATTAAGCTGCATAAGATAATAAGAATAATGCTTGGTAAATAAAATCCTTGGCCACTTCTTGCTAATATCGGTGATTACTATACTGTATAAAAGATGGGGTTGGCTACTTCCAATAACAAATGTAGTTCTACACCTAAAGGTTGATTTTTATTTCCTAAGTTTAAGCCTTAAGAATTCACCTGAAAAGTCCCTTTAATATTACAGTACAGTATTCACAGCTTGGGCTATTGTTTTGGGTTCAGCCTCCATAATCCACTAGAGGCATGTTCATTAACTTCTTCGAGCCTCCTACATCACAGTACCAAGCTTATTCCTGTCCAGAACATTATCCTGTCTCCCATCTCCATTTATCGCTTGAATCTGCAGTCTCCTACTTTTATAGCCGTATTAGCTCCATTTGTTCAACCTTTATGTCTACAGTCCATTGTCATCACAGAAGCCAGAGTAGTCTTGTTAAAAATATTAATCAGTTGGCATGATTTTCTTGTTTAAAACCCACCAGTGATTACTTAGACAAACTCACAAGCCTATTGTACCAGCAAGGTGCTATCTAAACTGGCTTTTTCTCCTTCCTGAATATCACCTCCATGTCATTCCCTACTGTGGGCAAACACAGTGTCAAATTCTAATATGTCCCCAAATGAAGCCTGTGTTGTTGACCTTTATGTATTGAAAGATAAGAAAGGAGGCAAGAGTTGCTGTGAAACAGTGCTTTAGACACACACACACACACACACACACACACACACACACTTTATTCAGTACCCCCTGGTGACCGTTGTTGTCCATTCAAGGATCTCCTTTTCACCCTTCTCTTAACAGTGACCATCACTCTACATTGCTAAAGGTCATGCTTTTGACCCATGATTTTATAGCATTATGAAAACCTTTACACTGCTGATTTGTAATTTATAATCTCAAATCTAATTTATACTACTCAAAACTTCACAGACAGATTTCAGGCTAAATTTCAGGCATGGGCATGAGAAAAAATATTTGGAGAACAGAAAATATGTATAATTTCTTGTAGTCTTTTTTTTGTATTTTTTTTTTTTTTTTTTAGGGAAGGGTGTACAGGATGGTCAGGGTCTTACTACTAGATCGGACTCTAGTAATTTTCCTGTTTACAGCCTCCCAAGAGTTGGAATTACTGACACATGCCACCACGCCCAGTCTCAATTGCCTTTTTAGCATGCCCTGGGGCAGGGCCAGCATGGCAGACCCAGGGATCGAACCCCTGGCCCCTGCACCTGCTTGCAGGTGCTTTAATCCTCTGAGCTATTTGGTCAGCCCTAAATTATTATTAATAAGATTTGCCACAACCTAATATTGTTTAGATTTTATTTTACCTGCAGGATAGATTGAAATACTTTCTTATTTGTAAATGAGAGGAGTTTATCCATCAAGGCATTTTTTTTTTTAAACAGGTTTTTGTTTCCATTTTCACAATATTTCAGGAAGCAGCTCTTAATGGCTATTTATATTGTTGAGAACATTTGGCAAGAGAAAGACAAACATTAGGACAGTAATACTGCAGCGTGACTGGGAAGAGAGTACACACCTGGTGTTTTCACCTTCCTCTTTAGTGAAATGGACGCCTTGACCTGCACAGATTACAACCTCAGAACACTGAGCCATGGTCGACTGTACTCTGGATGAATAACTTTAAATGCAGATTAAGTGTTCTATAAATGAACTCTATGGGGGAAGTCAGGAGAGCATTCTGAAAGGCTTCCTGCTCTGTCCACACTGTAAGATCGGCTGGCAGTCACACTTGGGCCCCAAAGCACTCTGGCTTTAAGTGATCAAAAACCTATTCCAAGCCCAAGGTGCTAAATACAGACCGCTTATGGTTTACTAAAGACAGAAAGAGAAAATACCCACATACTCTGGCAGGAGTTAACAATAACAGTCCTCCTACTTAACAGGCTGAGTCATGAGCACATTCTATTGATTTCTCAGCAATTCCGGGCAGATTGTTTGGGCTGCAGTTCTGCAGGCAGAGGTGGATGCACCTGCTACAAAAAGCTCTAGTTCTTGCTAGGAGGGCACTGTTATTAAGTCCTGTCTTTTAACAGTTTGGCCAAATGGCAATAGGGAAAAAGAAACATTTGGCACTGACAAGCATTTTTTTCTAATACTTTCAATACAAGAATGGTGGTCTAAGCGTGTTTATTTACTGGCCATGAGTATAATTTGCTTAAAAAAGGAGGTTTATTTTAGAAATTGTGACCATCAAATCTTACAAGGTATCTCATTCAGAAGTCTTCTGGAAATCAATAGTAGTAGCCTTTTCCCAATCAGTTTGAAGAAAGAGTAAAAGTTGATGAAAGAGAGATTATTGTATGGTTCCTAAAATAGCCTGTATTAGAGCATGTTTTGCTAGTATAGCACAATATCCAAGACTGGGTAACTTTATAAGGAAAAGAGGTTGTTTTGGTCCAACGAAAAGAGCCCAGGGTCTAGTGCTAGCCTTATGGCTGCCAGGGTTCCAAGGCATGACAGAGGCTCACCTGGCAGAGAACGGTGCACATAGGTATTTTCTCTTACATCTCAGAAAGCCACTCATGATACAGGTGTGGAGAATTCACTGATGGTCTTACCAGATCTTAATCATGGCTCCATGCCCTACCTCTAAGTACCATAATGGATAAATGTTCATCCTTATAATAGCTCACAACAGGGCTTAAATTTCAACACACCAATCCTTAAGCAACATACTGAATTCATATCCAAGTGATAGTATTCTTTGTGACCTAAAGCTTGAGAAAGGCACTCCAAGTGTTACTAGAACCAGGGGCAAACAGGAGCCCAAGATATCGTCCTCCCTTGTGTCCACGTGACTCTCCATAATCCTTTTTGTCCACAGAGACACAATATCCTACTCCTCTTTATCCATGTGTGGCTCGAGTTTGCTTGCCTGTCAATGTCAAACTTATACAGTTGTTGTACATCTGTTTTTAATTACCTGAACTTTTTACCAAGTAAGCTGTGATCATTGCAGTGGAAAAGTTTTTGCATACATGATTCTAGCATCCTACAGCTTTGGGCAAAAAGAAAAATGAAAATAGTATTTATCATAAGTAATGCCCTCAAAAGCACTGACTGATTTACTCCTGCCCTCTGTTGGGAACTAGTACATCCTCAAGCCACTCACCTGCTCATGGGTATTGTACAGTTGTCGGGTCATGAAAGCCCAGTTAGTAGACTTATTATGTCTTTTCTATACTCTGATCAAAATTCTGAGGCTAAGGACATCTAGAATCCTTTCAAGGTCAT